ATCAAAATAAGGCATGTAAATATAGAATGGACGATGCAAATAATTAATGAGCAAATGTAATAAGGCTATGGGTTTTTTTTGTTTGTTTTTTTAATAGTTTTTGCTCTTAGAATATTGATAAAATGGCCTAATGGCTGAAACGTTGAATGTAAAGTAAGAAAAGCAGGACCACTTGGATGTAATGTGTTTATTATTATTATTATTATTATAGTTTTTCATTCATTAATATCCTTTGTTAATGATTAAGTCTAGCTAATGATGTCAATGTGCTATAGTTCATATTACATCACTAAAATAAAAAAAATGACAGAGATATTAAATATTCAACTATAAAAGACTCTTACGAGTAAAAATATCAGTCTAAAAGCCCATTCACCTCTTCAGTTCCTTAAATTGGCCCAGCTTTGTGGGGGAGGAGACCGTGAGTGAGATGCCAAATTCAAATGATACTCTAATTTCCGCCTTGTCTCAGTTTAATGAGAACAGATGGCGCTGATAACACTTTCCTTCGACCTGATTCAAGTCAGGAAATTAGAAATCGTAGATATAAAGTGACGAAATCGATTGTGTAGGTCCACTCAGCTCTATTGTAAAGGCTGCGTTATTACATCCGCCCGTCGTTCTTGAAATTAAAATAATTTAATCGTTACAAACTATCGCGAAACACTTAAGACCGCACATTTAGTATTTTCATGAGAGAAAAAGGTTGTGTTATGTGCGGAAGACACGTACGTAAAACGGAAGAAAAGTTTCTTCGTAATCAATTCACCAACATTATTCTTAAAATTAGCCAACGATTTAACAAACAACTAACCATTCACATGTGAAGTTTCAGAATTGTTGGCTACACCACTTTCGTAAGTTCTATTAAAGGATAGGTATGAATGTGTGAACAAATATTTCCCTTTTTTCTATTATCTATTTATTATCTATTTATGTTTTAATGTATTTTTCTTCTTCTTATTATTATTACCTACTTTATTTTTTTATATGTTTATATTTGTATGGTATGGATGTAAAAAACAGAGCCATAATACCTAATGCTATTGATTGTAGCAGAATATATTATTTTTCTTTCAATAAGAAGATTTATTAAAAAATAAAAATAATCAATGCAATATAGTTTTAAAAATATTATTCACATCATTATTCTAACCGATTATTTCTATAATTATTCCGGAAATTAATTAAAATTGAGGTAACTTAGTATTTTAAAAAAATATAAAAATAAAATTAATCTTCTAATGGTCCAATCTAAATCACAAACATTTTAACAAACGCTGAAAAAAAAACAGTCAAAAGAACGGGCAATCTCCTCCCCCCCCCACCATCTCAGATCAAATTAATAATATTGCAAGGAGTTTAATCTTATTTCCTGTCCAATTAAATTCGCGTCACGAAACAAACTGTAGAGCTTCCTTAATTCGCCAACTTTTATATTGAAAAAGAAGAGTTATTTTTATTTTATTAAAAGTTTCTTTATACTTTTTTTTTTTTTCTATTTTACGTGAACTCAGAAAGAAATGCTCATTATTTTATATATTTTGCATGTGTAATTTAAATGGATGATTAAAATATGATAGATGGTTACAATTACACTTCAACATCTGTATTTCTCACTGTATCTTTCTAATTACAAGTCTTGTAATTATGAATAAATAAGTAATCGTCATTGATAATTTTTAAACTTCAGTAATAATTAACTAACGAAGTTCAATGATTACAAATAATTGAATAAGATAAATTAATAGAACAAAACTGATAAAAAAAGCTGAATTTCGATGATGTTTTGATTTTGAAAGGTTGTGTGTTTCGTCAAAAAGCCTTGCAATATACCAATGAATGCTCAAAAAGGGCAAGGAACGCAATTTATAACTTTTTTTTTGGCTTGAAGATTTTAGACAAAATAATATTTTGCAATATATTTTTTTTTTTAACTTAGTGGCTTAGTTCGGATTGTTTAGGAGATATACAAACTATGATTCACTCACCGCTAGGTGGTGAACTAGAAGTGAAAAGGGGAGGGGGCATCCAGGTCATTTATTTCGGTTTGTCGCTTATATCAGGGAAACCATGCGTCCTAGCGATAAAGATGTTCTATGAAAAATTAATATTGATCACATTATTTCCGAAACACCCGTGATCAATAATCGTAAAAATGTTTGCCTCACGTTTTTATTTTCGTTCTACAAGCCAAACCTTTTTTCCTACTTATTCAACGAAAAATTCATGAGAAAGAAAGTTAGTGAGCATGTAAGGGTATATATTACTTAACTATCACATCTTCAACTATTCAAAAGTTAAAATAGTTTTACGTTTTTTTTTTTATTTATCCATGATATTTACAACTGTATTACAATATAGGTACATCATGTAAATGAGAACACATGTTGAGACACAACCAACTGGTAGCACTCAAATAATATGTCTACATAAGAAGATCCCGAGGCCATCTTCTTTTCTGACACTCCGGAAGGTTATTAGGAATCGGATAGTAAGCAAAGCTAGAAACAAGAGGATTCGGATGGTTATGAAGTTTACTATGGAAGGATAGGTATCTGAATTGGGCCAAATTGGAAACATATGAAACATTAAGGTCTTTATGGATTATTTTATTTGTGACGAAGTAAGCATCATTGAGGATTTTACGAAGAATTATGGATTGTAAGAATTAGATACGAGATGAATTCGATGGTTTAGTGGAGCCCCATAGCTCAACTCCGTAAGTCCAAATAGGTCTTATTATAGCCATGTATATGAGTCTTTTGTAATTAAATTGAAGTTTAGAGCATTTGTCTAGTAAGTGTTGGAGTAAGCGGAAATATCTAGCAGTCTCTTGTCGTTTCAGTCTTGTATGAGGATTCCAAGTGAGACGTTTGTCCAGGTGGAGTCCTAGGTATAGGATTTGTTAAACAGGGATAAGTGGGGTGTTATTAAAGGATACTGTAGGACAGGAAGTCATAGGTCATAGGACGAAAGGTAAAGGTGATTTGATGAGATTTATTGGAATTGTTTTTAATAATCCAGTTTTGACACCATTCTTGAAGGTTTGTGGTGTGTGATTGAGAGTTTCATCAATTGAGATGCAGTTGATGGACCGTTATTAACTGATAGGACATCTGTGTCTTCGGCATAAGTAAGTTATAATTTAATGTGTTAATTCCGAAATTTAACAATAGCATTATCTATACTATTAAATAAATTAATTAAATCTTGAGTCTGCTACCGATATAGTATGCAATTAGTACACATGTTAACCATAAATTCGCTTACCATAGCTACAGGCGCTATATTATTCCAAACTCACGTTTCAAGAAAACAATGATAGTCAGAACGAAGTTCTAAAATAAAAAAATGTGTTCCTATTTTGTTAAGTGTTAAAGCTCTCTGACACCAAACAATTAATTATTTTTTTAGAATAAAAAGGTAATTAGGTAAATTCCGTACCGGACAGAAAAACATGTTTTAATCTGATTATCATTGGAAGATATTGGCTTAATGAACATTTTATATATTTTTTAAAAAGTATTTGTTGATTAATATACCAAGGTCTATACAATATGGTAACTGTAGTTTTACCAAGAAGCACTAGCGGATTCAAGATTTTATTTTGGGAGGCTTGAGTCCGAAAGATTTTTTTGTTTATATGTATGATGATAATAACTTTGGAAGAAGGAAGAAACAAACTTCATTACATAGGGTGTTTAAGTGATTCTTAAAGTCCTATTAAATGTAATTATACAAACAATAATACTTTTAGAGATAATTTAAAAAAAAAAATTGCTTTAAGACATTGTCATATTTAACTATTTCACTATGGGAGGGAGGGCTTCAGTCTGAAAACCTCTTGTAGATCTGTCTGTGCCGAGAAAATAAATACTTAACACGTCTCTGAACATTCTCTATAATTATTGAAAACTTAATCAAAGTGTCTACAAAAAACAAATGTAAAAAAGAAATATTGAAAAAAAATCGTTATCAAACTATTATTAGCTATAATACATTATATAATTTTCATGTTGGACTGACATGTTGGAAACCGGAAGTCCAATGCCGTCTGTATGGATACACATGATATTTTATGCTTAATTAATATTTTTGTTTTTATAATTAGTGAATGTTTTGAGGATAAGGACGATTCAGAAATAGTTTTTAAATAGGTTCTATTGATTTGGGGTATTTTTAGCCAACATGATAGAATGCCATTAATCATTTGCAGGTCGGTCGTCTACCTAGTGCTCGCTGGCAACGCCCGATTTAGAGTAATTTTTAAAACTTTTTAATATTTTTTACTCTATATAATAAAATAATATGCCTCTGATTAGATGTTTCAGTCAATAATCATTAGTAAAAAATAAATGTCAATATATTCAACTAGTATTTTTTCTCTTTTTCATGGGATGTGGTGTTGAGAAAAAGGGAGTAAGTAGGCTGATGATTAAATATGGGACATAAAATTGAACAGCCCAACTTTACCGGGAGTCAAAAACAGGTCGAATGTGCAAATCAAAATTCAAAAGCAATGGTGATTGTTTTTTCAATATTCATGGAATTATACACCTTCACTGATCTCCTGATAATCAAAATATTAATCAACATTTCAACATTACCATGTTCAAGTTCATGCTGAAAAGAAAGCGGCACGTGTCCTGAAGGACCTGACATAATATATGACATGATATAGCACTGTTTCAGACAGTGAAAGATTTGCATGGAGCTTGTAATACCAGAGAATATGTACATTGGAAATGAAAATAAGTATATATATATATATATATGAAATCAAACATATACATTTACAAATGATCAACCATTAAACATTTACAGCATCTGTATCATTATTCGATAGACATATATAGAATATAGGCTTACTCGCATGGGTTTATTTGATAAATTTAGTTCATATGTCTATTATTGATATATAATATTTTATTACAATGTGTTACAATCCAGCTTCATTACTTATTAAAAAATCAATAAATCTAGACTAATGTACTTACAAGCTCAACGCTGCCATAATGCCTTCTACTGAAAACACCACGTCTCGATATAAGATCATTTGAAGAGGTGCTAAAACAGAAAAAATAAATAGTTTCAATGGTTATAGAAAAGTAATAAATATGAAAAAATATTATGATATTTTTAGAATAATTGCAATGATTATAAAAATATATTTATATAATGATAAAATGTTCCACAATTCAAATATATTACTAAAATTTATTTAGTTATAAAGATGAAATATACGAAAATTAATCAGACTTTTGAATCACTGCATATAGTAATAACCACTTAAGGGGAACAATTTTTACTATGAGAGTTTCGGAGTAAGATTATTATATATTAGCTGTGCAAAAGACTTTCAATATTACATGAGATAAATTCAAGAAAATATAGTTTGGGTTCATCAATCAAAATGTGTTGGCTAATGCCTCAACCATATTTATCTTCCAACGTCATTTTCCTCAAAGCATTATAAGGTGCTAGCTATTTGGCGAGGGGCGGCCAAGGCAGCTTTTGACACCTTTGTATTAAAGGGCAAGAGGTGGGTCGTTTCTTACAGAGAAAACCGTTTAGCTTCCGATCAAACACAGGGTACAAAGAGGAGAAACATCTCTGATTTAATTTTCTTTATACAGAAAATTTAATTTCGTGCCTAAAAATTATGAATGGACTTTTCATTGAGGGATAATATTCATCAAAAAGCTACTTTTATTATTAAAATAATAAATGTTTACCTTACTATGTGAAGTGAAACGAAGATTATGTGTTTGGGTCGTCCGCTAAAAGTTATATAACATTTTTTTGAGTGAATCACTGGATTGTTTTAAGTTGACTCAAATTATTCGGCGAGATCCCCTGAGTGCTTTGAACTAAAAATACCGACACGTTTAAAAAAAAAAGTGTGTTTGATCAATTAACAAACTGCTTTGTAAAGCTGTTTTAAGCGAATAGCTGGATCGATTTTTAAGTTTGATATATTATATTATTTGGACAGGTTCCGTGAATGTTTGGTAAGCGAAACGATACAAGAGTAGTGTTCGGAATTCACCGCTAAAAGATTTATAACGCTGTTTTGAGCACACGACTGGACAATTTTTTTAAGTTTGATGGCTCAATTTATTTAGTGAGATTTCGTGAGTGTTTTGAAAAAAAATTAGCACAAAAGTCAGTCAGATGATTGTGTAGAGTGCGTTTAATCAATACATTAAATAGTACGTGAAGATTTTTTGAGCGGATGTCATGGCCGATTTTTAACTGCAACTACTCAGTTCGATCCCGTGAATGTTTTGAAACAATGTTAGCTGAAAAAAAAATATTATAGTTTAAGTATCTCGAATAGTCATTGATTTGAAATGATATCATATCATCATGTGTTACGAAAAATAATTCTTATTATTTTAAAAACTAAAAATGTTTTAATTAAAAAAAAAAACCGACTACAGAAATTGGGAATTTCTATCGACCCTATGGAAATGTATGTCCATACCTACTTATATATCTTGGTAGATTGATAGGGAAATGGACATCTAGGAATATTTATACTTGGTGTAATTTTCGGATGCTTTTCACTACACATTACGGCTCCAGGCAAATAGTTTTTGTCCCATGTATCAGTGTATGTCAACATCCTAAAGAGTTTTGAGTTTTGTTCAGGGGTGGTAGGCACCCGATTACTACATGGAGTTTAAATATTAGTATTGTAGTTTCATGTTATTATATTCTTTTGTTCACATTTACTGAATGTATTTTTATTTGTAACACAGTTGTAAATAACAATAAAAAAAACATATTAGTATATGTCAATTTCCCAACCAATCTACCAAGAAGTACAAACAGACGTACATTCCCTAAGAATGAATAGAATTTGCCAATTTCTATAGACGTTTTTTTGTTTTTAAATTAATTTTTTTTTAATTCATCTACAGTTATAGAATGCTACCAGAGAGTAGTTTCCCAACAAATCATTTTATGTCATAATATTACTTTGTTTTCACCTTTTCATTTTTAAAAACATCAGAAATTTGAACTATCAAATCATCTGAAAATAAGAGTAATTACAGCTCTCATACGACTGTGCCAAGCTATGGTAAATGTATCTGTAAACTCCGTAAAAATCTGTGAACAAAGGAAGATTATGACATGAAAGGATTTGTTGAGAAGCTATAATTAGAATTTTTTCAATATGTGTAAATGTTTTTTAAATTAAAAGTTTGTTTTTCTAATTCATACTACGGTTATAGAATGCTACCAGTGGGTAGTATCTCAACAAATATTTTCATGTCATAATATCCCTTTGTTCACATTTACTAGATGTATATTTATATAAATACATTTATAAATATCTAGTAAAAAAAAAAAAAAATACTACTGTTGCTATGGCTTAATTATCAGAGTGGGGATTTACAGATTCATTTACCATGGTAAGACAAAATCGTATGAGAACTGTAAATACTCCTATTTTCAAAGTTATTTGATAGTTCAAATATCCAATTTTTAAAAAATGAAAAGGTGAAGAGACCCCATATCTTCGGCACCATAATGTAACGAAAGTGAATCAGCTCCATATAAACATTCGATAATGATTATTCGTAAACATATACATATCTAATAAAGCTAGAAATTCGTAAAAGAAACAAAATTTTTCACATTCGTTACTTCAACTTGGTGTCGATGATACCATAGGCAATACATTCTTAAGAGTTGGGTATATTAATTTTAATCGTTAAATAGAATTTGATTAAGTTGATAAGACCTTTATAGGCTATTTCACGATGTTTTTCCAACGTTGGACCAAATCGAATAAGCCGTTTTCCAAATATTGGCTTGTCGTGTTAAATATGCTTAACCAATAGTTTTTTCGTATGTAGTAGATGGAATCGTATAAATTATTATATCTGTTTGATCATTTTTTTTACCAACCCTCTCCAACTTTGGGCCAAATCGAAATGAGGTTTTGGAATATATAGGCCTGTCGAAATATATTAATGAGTGCTAATACAAAAGTGGTGGATCAGATATAATGAAATCGATATGGGACAATTTAGGTTTTGAACCTTACAATGTCTGAAAATATTTTGTAATTCGAAGCAGGTTGATTCTTGTATAATGAATTTGACTACAGACGGATGTGGAACCAACTTCTTTGATGCTTAAAAAATGAAAGGCAAGAGGAAATTTTTTATTCGGAGACATTATTCTTTTTTTAACCTCCTGCATGAATACGAAGCTTCACTACCTTCGGTATACACGAAAATTAATTCTTTTGAGGCCTCCAAAAATGTTGGAATATTTCATTGACTGGAAGAAAGAGAGTAGGACAGAGAGTTAAGCCCCATAGAATTATGCTCTCTAGGGTATAGGTTGATGAGGCTATTGAATGGAACACAACGCAGAATTTTTCTAGGCCAGAAAGCTCTCAGTTGATAAATGTTGGTCTATATACCAATATGTTCTTGGATTTCTTTGGAGTAAATTGATGTTGCTAACTTTTTTCATAAAGAATATTTTTACCAACAATATTCGCCAACAATATACATATTAAAAATGTAATACCTATTTTTTTTATATGTTTGAATATTAATCTGAACCTGTCGACAACTGCTGACAATCAGCAAATGGTCTGATTAAAGTAATGAACCATACATGTCAGCTATGGGGAAGGATAACACCCAGCAGTAACTCTTCCCTGGCTTGAATCAATTACCATGGTTTGTTAAGGAAGGAGGTCTCTCATCCAGCGACTTTCTAGTCTCCTCATATTGATGGGTGTGTCTGCTGAAGGTGTATATCTCTGATTCGGATGTTATTATGTCCGTGTAAATGATTGTGAAATTGTTTGTAAAGTGTTGGTCAACTGTAGGCAGAAGGAAGTCTGTATGTAAGGTTTTGTTTGTCACTTACCAAGGTGCTTTAGTTATAAGTCGTAATATTTTTGATTGTAAAGTTTGAAGTTAGTGTAAGTGAGTCTTTTTAGCTATACTGCATATCTGTGAGGGAGATGTCCATATTGGTATAAGCAAGTATAGGTATGTATTTAGTTTCTGTCTCAGTTCTAGTTTTGAAGATTTGGAAAAAAAAGTGAGTAAAATAGTTTGAATCGTTTATTGAGGATCATCCGTTTCATTTACAATGTAGGCCCAATGTCATCCTTCTGTCAAAGGTTAGACCAAGGTAGTGTACGGTGTCCGTCTGAGGAATATAGATGTTTTCGATAAAAATGGGGGGCAGTTATTTCTTCGATGTGTAAATGTAATGTGTTAAGATTTATCGTGGTTTAGTCGAATTTTTCATGATTTGAACTAGTCTTGTAATTTCTCTAAATTATGTTGTATCTTCAGTGAGGCTTGTGAAGCGTTATGATGTTCTGTGAGAATTGATGTGTCGTCAGCATAAGTAGCAGTCAATGTCTCATTGTTAATAGGTATGTCGGAAGTGTAAACAATATATAGTAGTGGAGCCAGTACTGAACCCTGGGGCACTCCCGCCAAGACTGGAGGAATAGAAGAAATTTCTGAGCCCTGCCGAATTGAGAAAAATCTAACGTAAAGGAAAGATTAAAAAATCATAAAGTATTTGTTCGCTAGTATGAAATTGAAATTAAAGAGAAAATCCTGGTGCAAGACTTGTCGAACGCCTAAGCGACATCCAAAAATATACCAGGTGTATAAAGTTTTTGTTCCATAACTCGATTAATGTAGTCTGTAACTCTGTGAAATTGATGTATTGTCGAATGGATTGTGCGAAAGCCAAATTGATGGTCACGAATTATTTGTTGGCCAGTCAGTATGTCAACAAGTCTTTTGAATATCAATTTTTCGAATATTTTGAAACAAATTGGAAGAAGGCCAATTGGTCTGTTGGATGAAGGATGTCTATGTCTTTGCCTGTTTTGTATATCATTTTAATGAGTGAATATTTCGATTGTAATGAAAATTTTGCTATTCTCAATATAAAATTTTAAATTATTGTCAGAAATACTAGAGCATTCCTCGGCAACTATTAGAGCGCTTCAGCTGTAATTAAGTCATAGCCAGGGACTTTTCTTTTAGGAAAATGTTTGATTTGAA